ACAACTGTTCTTGGATGTTTGCGAACGACGGTGCCACTCCCAAATCACGGAATATATCTTGGGCGAGCATTGACTACACTCGGCACTTTACTGATTCTTATTGCATTCAACGCAACTCGAATCAAACGATCGTCGAATCTCAAGTGGACCGCGTTCGCCGCAGACATTTACAATGCGCGACCGACGGAAGGTTGACGTGAGCATGCAATGTTGCATCAAACCCACACGAAATGTTAGGGATACAAAGCTGCAGAAGGAAGGTGCACTACCTTTCAGCTTGATTAGACAGAAAAGTAAGTATAGATAAGTCGCTAGTCGTATGGATCAGGCATCACTCAAGGGCATCGGTACCACATTGCGAAGGCGGAAGAAAAGTCGTTCCAGGACTAGAACTTCCTAGGGGAAAGTTCCGGCGCTTGCTCCGAGTATGCACTTGCAGAGGCACTGCCCGCACCCTCGTTGTACAAGACTTCTTCGGTCTCGACCCGCTGGGTGACGATGCTTATGCCAGGTGCGGAGCGATTCTGGCGCACGATGTCAAGATCGTGTGCACCTTTAGGACTCCTGAGCGACGGACTTCTGCGGCTTTCCTTTTCGGACTGGAACGCCGACGCCTCGACTCGAATGCCACCCGCACTGCTGAAAGTAGGACCGCCCGTACTTGCCCGCCGAGGAGATGTGTAGACGTCCTTAGACATCTGATGAGTCCGCGATGGAACTCGACTAGGCGCGAAACCTGTAAATGCTTCCTGAAGCCACGCCATGCGCGAGGTGCTCAATTTGGGGGAGTGACCAGGCTCGCTGATGGGTGCGATCGAGCCAGAGTCACCGCCTCTCAGGTTTGGACTGTTGTTGTGGGCAACGCCGTACTCTTGGATCTCCACGTCGGGGTGACGGTACGCTCCGATGTGACCGGCAATTCTCGCTAGCGTATCCTGGTCGAGCATCGAGCCGTTTGCAACTTTGGTTCTCCACGAAACGGGCAAACGAGAGCAGAAGCTCTCCAGATTTCGGGCTGCTCTGGCGGCGCAAAGTGAGTGGAGAGTGGCGGAAAGGGTCATTGCTGATGACTGTGCTGGTGGAGTCGACGCCGCGTAGTAGAGAGCGACGGCGGCCACGGTAGGTCCCATAGTAAGGAGCAAGAAGACGACACCTACGTGGA